CCAATGAAAGTCAGGCATTGCTCTTCAACCGTGCTTCAACAGCGTTATTTACTCTACGGGACTGTGGCCAACCTCCCTGGATGTGGCTGCATGATGACAAATCAAAGAGACTGATTATTTGAATGCTTACAAAAGAGCCCAGAAAACTTCTAAAGGTGAACTTCAAGCTCATCAGTGTCAGATCACACCATCCATCACTGTTGGAATCAAAGTGGATGACGTGGGAGACGACCAAGGAGGACACCACTGTTGAAAACAAATCATGAAAAAGCCTGACTGGAATTAACCAAACTACATGTTGACAACACACACGTCCCATGGGCAGATGAGACAACAATGAAACTTTTTGCTGAGACATACGTTCACAGACGGGAAAACGAAGCATGTCAAGAAAAGAACGCTGTCCCTACAGAGAAACATGGAGGAGGTTCTCCTATGTTCTGGAGCTGCTTTGCTGCATCGGGGTGAATCTGTGCAGGGTACAATGAAATTTCTAGACCATCAAGGGATTGTAGAGAGAAATGCGCTGGTCACAGACCAGTGAGATATGGATGTAAGGAGGCTGAAAGCATCGGCTGTACATTAATGCATCCTTGCTCTAGCAAGTCATGGAGAACGCAGCAGGATTGTCATCCAGCCTTAGTTTGGTTTTGTGGTAGGTGTAGGACCCTTTTTCTACATAAAAATAATTTTAATTCTACCATTATTAAGAAACATTGTGTATACTTTAAAGCTAGACATTCAAACTAAAGAAAGTATCCTATCAAACGTTTGTTTGGATGTGGATCTGTGTTTCTGTTATTACCTCTTCTCCAGAACGGCTCTTTCCCCAATCCTGTCCTGCTTGGTGTTGGACACGTTTGCTTTCATACAGTTCTGGAATTACCCAGAGATTTACATTTTTGGTACTTTCATTTAGTATGGCCAGATTTGTAGAAAAGCCTTTATTCTGTTCCCTGGTAGAGTGTCAGCATGTTTAGCAGGGCAGCCGCTTTGGAAGGAGGCAGATGAGCAGCCAGTTTGGTCTTCCTAGGAAGCGAGCCTGCGAAACCAGCAGCTTAGACGGCTCCAGATCTTGATTAAAGGTTGACATCAAGTTGCTGCATTTGAAGACTGGATGATATACATTATAATGACGTGTCTACAAAGCTGAGTCTGGCACCTGCACATAGACTGTTAAGTGTCTACTTATTTGGTGAAGGAGCCTGAAGGGCTGGAGGGGCAGTGGTGGGGAGTTGAGAGCTATGAATGGAGAAATGGGGGGAAAAAACGGAGGGGAGATGAAAAAAAAACTTTAATGGAATGACTGACAACTCTGTCAGCACACAGAAAAGGTTAGGGGTGACAGGAAAGCAAGAGAAGGAAGACAGAGAAGCCAAAGCCGGGGGGGGGTAGGAGGTTGCCAGATTTGATTGGCCCAGAAGGAGACGGTAAACGGTTGTGGGTCAGCTGGAGGCAGGCCGGGCTGGCAGAGAGCCAACTGTGGTAATGAGCTCAATACGGTGTGGATTATAAAAAAGTGAAAATACACACTCAGAGTAAAGTTTGTGGAGTTACCTTGGCAACAGTGGAGAGGTACGAATGCCAAGATGAAGGGAGCCCAAGCAGAACAAAAAGAATCAGGTGACTCTTACATTTAGAAATACATGTAACGAAGTATGTTCACAGGCCACAGTGATGAGCTGGAACTACTTTCTACGTGCTCTAGGTACAGATGGAGACCGCTGAAAGAAAAGAAAAAGCTCATGATGCTACTCCAAAAGGCAGCCATCCAGTTAGAAACCAGCAGGCATGCTGGCCAAACCTATTTCAATCTTAACTAAACAAAGGGAAGAAAGCTTCTCATTGCATCTGCCACAAGAACTTTTAAGAAGACCAAAAGTAGACCAACCGCAGGGAGTGTTTGAAATATTGGCCTAGGTCTGCTGTTAATCTGCAGCTTGGATCATTCCACCTCTGCTGATGCTGCCCAAAGCCCAGCTCTCCTCCTCTTTGTTTTCTCTCGTCCCATTCACTAGGAGCATCAGAACACCTTTAACTGTTTAACCTGTTCTTAGACGATGTGCTGTAGAACGTACTCAGGAAACCATCAGACCAGGCCACCTTCTGGCCTAAGAGAAGGCGTTCCACTTCTCTTCCTTTTTTTGTTCCCTCTATCTCTCCCAGTCCTTCTTTTCTTTAGTCCTTTGTGAGGCGGTTGTTTCCTGTGGTGAGCATGGCACTGCCCAGGCACATGTTCTGTGGTGGGCCTGATTACAGCCCTGCTGTAGTGCTGACATTGGCCTGCACCAGCTCTTCATCTACACACACACACACACACACACACACACACACACACACACACACACACACACACACACACACACACACACACACACACACACACACACACACACACACTGGGCCCTTAAGTTCCACCAACTCTGCCAGCAGCTACTGCGGCATGACTTCACCCGGCAACCATTCTTTGCGTCAGACAAAATGCCTCTGTCACCAGAAAAAGGACGGGAGCTGAGAGGAGGGGTGGGAGGGGAACATACAAAGAAAGGGTGGAAGAGATGAGGTGAGTGTGGATGTGCAGTTGCTCTGCAAAGATGAGATGTTTTCAGTCAACATCTAGAAGCCTGGTGTGGTAATTTTAGCTGGAAGGCTAAAAAAAAGCTGTTGTCCCAGAAAGCATAGCAGCGGGCAGACTGGAGGAATCAGTGAGTGCTGGGCTGTGGACAGACTTTTCTGAGCTGATCAGTAGAAGTCAGACCTCTTTATAAAGCAACATCCTCGTGAAGGTTCCAGTCATCCAGGTCGATTCTGGGTCCCTTTTTAATACATTTCTAAACTTTTGGCCAATGTGTATTTTCCAGTTAATAACTATGTCATAACTGCCTAATGAAAATAAAATAAACATGCATCACCAGTCTGACATCTTCTGTGAAAAAGGAGCTTCTCGTTTGGTTCCCAAAGTTAGGGTGGTTCCCAAAGTTAGGGTCAAGACCCCACAGTGGGCCCTAAAACAACAGGCGGTGGTCTTGAATGACCTTACAGACATGAAATTAGTCTGAAAAAGAGACCACCAGCATCACATTCGGCCTTGGCTGAGGCTACAAAAGGATAAAAACAAATAGCCAGTGACTAAGTTACGTTTCTTATTATAGACGCATGCCCACTTAACCAGCACGTCAAGCTGAAGCATTTGTGAATGTCCTTCTAGAGAACGTCTTCATGAACAGAACCAGAACCTGCCCGATAAGCAGTGCTCCAGCTAAATGGTTAGATATTTCACTGCCACGCCAATAGTTTGATCTAAGGTGGTCCTCTGTCATATTTTTAATGCAGACATTTGCACTGTGCAGCCCTAACGTGGACATGTTACTGTACATAAAACAGTTAGCTGGTTGAAGCTGGATGGCTAGTAATAATACACATGCACAAACACGGCTAACGGATCTTTATTTAAAATGTGGCAGATATCAGCCAATCAAATCTGTTCAAGCTTAGTCGTCTGAGTTTATGTGGACACACACTGATGTTGTTTTCATGTCTGTAAAATATCCAAAGCTCCTCAGTAAGTTCAGCCTGTGTTCGTTTGTTGTAGGAGCGGCTGCACTATGAGTCCCTGAGCCAGCACCTTGGGAAGCTCGGAGAGGATGCTGGGAAGATGGTCCATCGAGTCATAGACCTGACAAGACCAGAGGACCTGGATGGTGAGCGTCTCTTTGAAATCTCTCCTCAACTTCTTCCTTTTAGTTTGTTCAGACTTTGAAAAAACAATTTGGCAAAGCAACAAATGAAGGTGATGTTTGGTGACACTCAGTCAAGAGGTCCTCTGGTATTCATGCAGGTATTCACATGTGTTTGTTATTACTAATTAGCTCTCATAAGTATGTCTAATGGCAGCCGTTATTGAATGCTCCTAATATCAGCAATGTGACCCCATAAGCTTTCAATTTGTTAGCATTTAAGTCAAAGAAGAACCCTCCCAAAAGGTTTTGTTGTTTTCAAACACTGAGCAGGGCTGACTTTTCTATTCCATGTAAAAAATATGCATTTTGGATTCATGTGGTGTGAGTGTGTTCTAACCTACCTGTTTCTCATATAAAACACTGATGTTTACAGCGGACGAGAAGCCGAGGAGGACTCATACTGATTCAGTTTAGAGTCAGAGAATAAACACAGGAGCCTATGGGATAGTCACAGGATGTGGAGGGCCTTGCACAACAGCACCACCAAACCAATGAAGGCACCAACGAGGCTTAGCAAAGAAACAACTCAATTGTCATTGTTTTTTTGTCTCTCAGGGAGTAGCATTACAGAGGCACGAGTGTTCAGGGAGGCACGGGGCAGGAGCAACAGTGAGCCCCACATCAAGAGGCCCATGAACGCATTCATGGTTTGGGCTAAAGACGAGAGGAGGAAGATCCTGCAGACCTTTCCTGACATGCACAACTCCAACATCAGTAAGATCCTTGGTAAGGTTTGGTGTTCGGATTGCAGCTATTACTTTGGGAACCACTTGTACTTTTCATTTAGTAAAAAATCTCGCTTGTTCAAATGTTTCCAACTACATTCTAAACTTAGATGATGGTTAGAGTTACTCGAAGTATAAAAATGAACCACTTCCATTCATTTTACAGTTTTAAACTAAGATCGTTCTGTTGTAACAAAAAAAAGACAAATGAAGGAATTACCGCTGCTCTTGAAACCCCGTGTGTAGGATTTAGTGCATTAGATTATGTGTTCGGTACTTTCAGCTGTCAAAACACACATTTTTAGTTGAAAACACTGCAACCAGAAAGTATTCCCAAAATTCAATCAGCTCCAACCAGTCTGGCCATGCTCCTCTGACCTCTGGCATTAACACGGCATTTCACCCACGGAACTGCCGCTCACTGGATGTTTTCCCTATTTTGGACCATTCTCTGTACACCTAGAGATGGTTGTGTGTGACAATCTCAGAAGATCAGCAGTTTCTTAAATACTCAAGCAGCCCGTCTGGCACCGACGACCACGGCACATTCAAAGTCACTTAAATCACCTTTCGTCCCCATTCTGAAGCCCGGTGTAAACTGCAGCGATCATGTCAGCATGCGTAAATGTTGCCACCTTGTGACTGGCTGAACAGTCATTTGCGTTAAGGGGCAGTTGGAGTGGTGTGCCCAGTAAAGTGGCCAGTGAGTATGTAATAGGTCTAGCAGTTTTTGTTTTGGCTGTGTGATTTGCTGTTGTGGCCATCTTGAAGAAGATTTTCTGAGTTGCATTGAAATGCCTCCATTGGTTCATCCAAGAGATATCTGCTAACACACAAAAACATCGTGGCTGTGAGTGTTAGAATGATCACCAGCTACAGAATCATCACACATTCATACCAGAGTAACGTGTCACTTATGTCTCTATTAGTTTCAGATGGAGTACATGGTTCCTCGCCTGCTACTAGAGGTCACAGAGTTCCTTACCAACAAACTGTAGATTATGAGATGGACTTGTGTGTTCCAGCCAGTTACACTCTCCACACAGAGGTCCACTGTATCACCTTGACTAGTGTGATGGATGCATTCAGGCCCAATTCATGTGGATTCTAACCTCCTCAACACAGATATCCATTCACACGGTGCTAAGCTAAACGCTTGTTCTTGAAACGTTCCTAAGACCTTCAATGTCCAAGGCAGAGTCAGTGGCCAGCTGAATCTAAATGCTCCTCCTGAGCGTCATGAACAAATCACTTTTTCTTAGGTGTTGTTGACACGGATTTCTGAGCAGGGTCCTATAAAAGAGCGCTTTATGTCCTGCAAAAGGCTTCCTGAATTCATTGGATTCATCGTTTGGCTTCCTAAATTCCAGTTTTCATGTAAAAAAAAATTAAGTTCAATGTGATATTTTATACATCTCCTTTTAAGTGGACTAATACAGTAACATTATTTTATTTAGCTAAATGTTTCATGTTGAACATAAATTAAGAGGTTTTATTAGCAAAATGCTCTTCACATAATTATTCTGGGTTTTTATTATGTTTGTGTGACGAGACAGAGAAAACGAAACTCAGATGCATACGTGTATTTGGCTTAACGTAAACAGTCTTCCCAATCTAAAAACACAGCTGGACCTTAGGGAGAAGGTGGGTGGCAGATTGGAAAGAAAGCATCTGTGATTCCGGTTTCTCTAAAGTACAAGAGGCGTTTGGGAAGAACCTTGGTAAACAGAGGAGCGAGGCCGCGTGTATAATCATTTGTTAGTGCCTCACAGATGTGCTGCGTTCCTGCAGTGATGGCCTTGTTCACTTGTTCAGATGGACTTCTTTACCAGGAACCAGAAGTACACAATGCATCATGCTTCCTGCTAAGAGGGACAGAACAGAAATCCACTCCTGGTTTTAAACGGCCTCTGGTACTTTGTGCTGTCCTTGTGCTCATGATAAATCTGTGTTTTTATTGGTTGGAGTGTTCTCCTGACTCTCTGAACTATGAAACTGATCGCCTACTCTTACCAAAAACTACTCATCATCATCGTCGTCTTCTTCCGCTTATCCGGGTCCGGGTCGCGGGGGCAGCATCCCATCTAGGGAGCTCCAGACCGTCCTCTCCCCGGCCACCTCCACCAGCTCCTCCGGCAGGACCCCAAGGCGTTCCCGGACCAGATTGGAGATGTAACCTCTCCAACGTGTCCTGGGTCGACCCGGGGGCCTCCTGCCGGCAGGACATGCCCGAAACACCTCCCCAGGGAGGCGTCCAGGAGGCATCCTGACCAGATGCCCAAACCACCTCAACTGACTCCTTTCGATCTGGAAGAGCAGCGGTTCTACTCTGAGTCCCTCCCGAATGTCCGAGCTCCTCACCCTATCTCTAAGGCTGAGCCCGGCCACCCTACGGAGGAAACTCATTTTGGCCGTTTGTATCCGCGATCTCGTTCTTTCGGTCATTACCCAAAGCTCATGACCATAGGTGAGGATTGGGACGTAGATCAACCGGTAAATCGGTTACCAAAAACTACTTAGTCATGTAATTCAGACACAACCCTGCTACATGAAAACCACCACACTTGAGCTGTTCACTCATGGGGCTTTTCCATTAGTGCCTACTCAGTACAGCTCAACTTGTCTCAGTGCAATTTCATGGGGTATCAAGTGAACCGAGCCTGGCCCAAAACGCAATGCCAGAGACTGATGGTCACTTATCGGCTAGAGCAGGGGTGTCAAACATGCGGCCCGCGGGGGTTTAATCCGGCCCGCAAGATGGTTGTGTAAACTTTATTTTCATACTTTACAATGTAGAGTGAAAATAAACTTTTCTTTGTGAGCAAGTTTTCTCTGTAATGAGTATAAATAAAACAAAGCTGCGCTCAAGGCTCACATAAGAACTTGAATCACATCCTGAAGTTGGCCGCCACTCAGGATGTGACTTCTGATATTGATGTGCTGGTGAAAGCTAAAAGATGTAAAGTAAAATGAGTCAAATATACTTTAAGTGCTGCATGGAACTGATCTAGACATCTGATCTGTAAGCTCTTTGAATCACTAAGGAATGTTTTTTTAGTTATCGATTTATTTCAAATTTTCAAGTACACTTCAGGTGTTGTACTTGTACTACACTGTCCTCAGGCTCCAGCCTTGTTTTATATTGATTGAATTAAAACAAAGAAAACAATTGAAGTTTTTTTTTCATTTACCGGTCCGGCCCACCTGGGACTAGATTTCCCTCGATGTGGCCGCTGAGCTAAAATGAGTTTGACACCCCTGGGCTAGAGGATGGAGTCGCTGGTTTTTCCAAAGTTTCCCACCTCGCTGTCCGCAGCCCTTTCAGGGGTCAGACTCTGTCCAGGGACTAAGCAGAATGTTCACCTGCGCTGTGTTGCATCTTTGTGCCATAAACAGATCACCTTATGCTACTTTTGCATTGGGTATAGGTCACCTTGCCAGTCTCTCTCTCTCTCTCTCTCTCTCTCTCTCTCTCTCTCTCTCTCGCGCTATCTCTCTCTCTTGCTCTCTCTTTCAACTGCTGGTAACCTTCGACCGTGACTAACAACATGTATCATTAGCAAACAGACATGGCGTATAGCTGGTGTCAGAAGTAGGAGGAATCTCCATATCATGGGTCCTCCTCCATTTGTTACCTAGGCCATCAGCTCGGGAAGGAGAAGAAATATTAATACCAGCAGACAGACAGTAGTTCCACAACTGGTACAGCCCCACTTTGACTAGCTGTTAGCTTGTCTGACTGATCTGTTTTCCTCCCAATTACAAAATGTTCTTCAAATCATTTTAGACAACAAATATGGTATAATTTGCTTCTTATTCATAGACTCTAAAGTTCTAAGCCAGTGCTGTCTAGTTCTGGTCCTCAAGGGCCACCATCCTACACGTTTTAGAGGTTTCTTTATTTCAACACACCTGATTTGAATGAATGGTATTTAAAAGGACTTCCGTAGAACTTAACATCCTGAGGTCATTGAATGATTGAGTCAGGAAAGACCCAAAACACAGGATAGTGGCTCTCAAATACCAGGATTGGACACCACTTATCTTAACCATTCCTGTAGGTTGGTGATGGAGGTGGTGTCCTCCAGGGCATGGTAATTATATTAGGCTTAGAAACAAGACATCTGGACTTCTTTGCTTCCTTGATGCAATTGTGCTTCCCTTTCAACAAGCTTTGTCAGTTCCAACAGAAAAACACAGAGTACCAACTTGTAGACTGTAGTAAGAAGAACTGTATTAATGGGAGCTAATTTGTAAACAAAACATCCAATGTTGTTTGTAGTCTTGGTCCACATGTGAGATGTTTCTTGAAGGAAGGGGTTGCTGTAAAACTTTCTGGTGACCAAAACTGGAGCTACATTTTAAGTGTTGGACAAACCGAAGCCCCCCTCTTCTGTTTAATGCTAGTTTTTTTCTGTTTTGACAACATATATGTATTTATTTTTTATTCAAGCTTATCTTTTGAAATCATGATTATTTCTTCCCTCTGTGATCTTGGATTAGAAGCAAGACGACCTTAAAGTTATCAGACAGGTGTAGTTACCTGTAGGAAGATTCCTTTAAGATGAAGAAACCAGTAGAAAAGAAGAAACACCTTTCTTTAAGTTGATCCTTTTTCTACAAGTGTGTTACCACACCCTAAAGCCAGGGACTTTGGCCTCTGAAAATATGCATAGGCTTTAAATTATTTTACATTCTAACACAAACTAAACAATTTTCTATTCCATGATCCAGGTTCCCGCTGGAAAGCCATGACCAATCAGGAGAAGCAGCCATACTACGAGGAACAAGCCCGCTTAAGCAAGATCCACTTGGAGAAATATCCCAACTACAAGTACAAGCCCCGACCCAAGAGAACCTGCATCATCGACGGCAAGAAGCTGCGCATCGGAGAATACAAGCAGTTGATGCGCTCACGGCGTCAGGAGATGAGACAGTTTTTTGTGGGGTGAGTTTAGGGTTACACTGACCCTAACCCTGTTCTGAGACGTTGGTTCGTAATGTCACTGCAACCTTTACAGACACGTGGTTGTTCAGCTTAAAGCTACAGAAAAGGATTTTACCTAAAGAATCCTAAAACTCTGAAACCAACATCATCAGAGCCCGTTCCTATAGCTGAAGGAAGAACAACTGATAACCAGAGATGTTGTACCACGAGTCATTTTCTTACTCAAAGATCAATTGTCACCCATCTGGTGTGAGGAACATGCACTTCAGTGGGTTCACATATTTTTGTGTGAGGCCAGGAGACGTGTCTTGGTGAGCTGAGGGCAAGAGGGCTGCTGCAGGCATCCAGAAACTCCATGCTTCACCCTAAACACAAACTTTCTTGTAGAACAAATTCCAAACGGTGTCGGTGATGAAATTTATTACTTTGTTTTTATTAAGATCCCCAATAGCCACTGTTAAAAGAGTTGCTATTCTTCCTGGGGTCATATCATCATCAAGTAAACATAAGAAATGCATCAGCACTGGGCTCACAAGCAAACAACCCATTTTCATCTACAATATTCATCTCCATTATAAGAATACACAACAATAACAAAATATAATACATCTCACAGCAACATGAAAACACAGTTTCTCCACATACAATAGACATTAAAATAAACAATTAAACCATAAAGTAAATAAAACATAAAGTTCACATCTTCTTCCAACTCATGTCGAACGGGTTTATTCAAATAAATAATCTCAACCTCTTACAAAAATCATTCCTTTGTAACGGACCCCTCAACAATTGTGGTAAACCATTCCAATCCACCGTTGCTCTATAAAATACCGACCTCTGAAGAAAATGAGTTCGACTAGCTGGCAACATAAAACGACCATCAGCTTGACGCGTATCATGTTGGTGAACATCTTTAAAGAACGTCAGCTGATTAAAAAAAGGTCTGGTGTTTGTGTATTTATAATATTCCTAATACATGCTATAAGTAAATACTTTTATCTACTCCTTACACACATCCATGCCAGTTCAGTATTCACAGCTCTTTCTAAATAAACAACTCAAAATCAACCGAGCTGCCTTAGTTTGTGCTACCTGTCATTTAATTAAGTTAATAATAATGATAATAATAATGCATTGAACTTATATAGCGCTTTTCTAGACACCCAAAGACGCTTTCACACACTCTTACATTCACACACTGCTAGTGATGGTAAGCTACTTGTAGCCACAGCTGCCCAGGGGAGGTCTGACAGAGGCTGCCATTGGCGCCGTCGGCCCGCTGACCACACGCATTTGGCTGACGTCGGGCCCTCTGACCACCCTAGACCACAGGCAAGTTGGGTGAAGTGTTGCCCAAGGACACAACAGCAGGATACCCCTGGCGGGAGCTGGAATCGAACCCATGACCGACCGATCATGAGGCAACCCGCTCTACCACCTGAGCTACTGCTGCCCCAAAGTTAGCGTCTGTCGTAGCAGCCCAAATTACTGCACAATAGTCCATGTGACACATAACAATTGATTCAACTAATAATTTTCTACTTAAATATGGAAGACAATTCTTACCATTCCCAACCATTGCCACGTTCTTCCCCATTTTCAATCAGATCTGCTTTACTTGACTGTTCCAGCTGAGCGTTTCATCAATTAGACCAAGCAACCCTCACTTCTTTTACTTGCTCTATGGGCATTTCCCAAAGTCAATACAGGTTCTCTCAACAAATGAGATGATCCCATAACCATACATTTAGTCTTCTCAACATTAATAACTAACTTGTTTTCATTGATCCAACCTTCTAACCTTAATTCATTTTTCAATATTGAATTTAATTCCTCCAAATTCCTTTCTGCCACATATAATGTCAAGTCATCATCATATAATACGATTGGGGCACACTCTATCATAAATGATGAATCATTTGTAAAAATAGAAAATAACAACGGTCCAATGCCAGCTTGTTGACATTTTACTATTTCACCATCTATTGAGTTTTTAGGTAAAGATGCATGCTGAGATGGACAGGCGAGTGCATGCAGAAAATGATTATGGCAATCAATCATGCTTTAGTCGATGTTATTGTTGATTATTTTCGTCTGAATCAACCTTCTCTGATGACGATCTGGAGGCTTTTCTTCAACACTCTGTGAGTGCAGATCTGGATGAGGATCTAGAAAAAGAAATCTCGGTGTCTGAGATTGTTTTTGCGATTAACAAAATGCAGAGCAGCAAATCTCCCGGACTGGATGATTCTTTTCCTTTGTGTGGTCAAGGATTGTGGACTGACCACCAGGGTTTACAAGCTCCTCATGAAAGGTTTGGAACCTTGCAAGACTCTATCTGCAGAATCTTTCAACATTTGCCAAAGCACGTTATTTTTTAAATGGTAGCGCGTGCAGAACAGAAAAACTGTGGCATTGTCGTGGAACTCGTGGATGTGTTTAAAGCCATCCCAGTGGGCCGCGTTTGAGATGGGTTTAGCAGAGGCCGCAGCTTGAATAGGAGCGATTTTTAATAGCTTGTCATTTATTAAATTAGGACAATGCTGGGTGCTTGCGGGCAGTGAAACTGGAGACAGACAGAGTGGAATATGAAATGTAAGCAGATGTTTGAGAGGGAATGAAGGAGAAAGAGGCAGACGTCAGTGGCTGTACGCCACATTTACTGTGTGTGGTCAAGTAAATGTAAAAACGCTCTGACTCTCCAAGCCTGGACTTTCAGTTAAAGCTACACAGCGCATTTCTGGCACATTCCACTCAACTGAACCTGAGCTGATTTAATGTGAAAATGAGTGAGTCAGAGAATGCAGCTGAATTAGCGTCAGCAGACAGAGGGCAGGAAAGTATTGGGTGGGAAACGTGAGCAATTTTCCTGTTTGATGTGGTGGATTTGAGCAGCCAGAGGGCCTTTTTGAGTGATGTGCAGTTACTCTCGTTCCATCTATATCATAACCAACTAATTAGCTTGATGCTACTGTGAGATGGCAACTCGAGTTCCATGTTTGGGCATGCTACACTCAATAAGAAGTACTGCTCTTTAGTTTTAAAGTATAAAGTGAAATAAAGTAAGCAAATCCCGCTTATTCAGCTTGCATGGAAAACTTTTATGTCATTAGATTATGCTTACAAAGATGCTATGCTGGGACTTTAGCAGCCTATGCAGTCTGGTATTACAACACTTGGCTGACGTTTCAGAATTAAAAGTCTCACTGATGGATTTCTTTGTCTTCGTTGTCGCTGAATGCGCAATAAGCTCCGTCACTTCAAGATTTTAGAACTAGGTTCAAGACTCATGTTTACATGTTTGCTTTAATATCCTATGAGCAATGAAGCTGCCTTTTTAAAAAGAAGTTATGATACTTGTCCGGAGACTGCTGGAGATGGGCACCGGCCTCCTGTGACCCTGTGTGGAGTAGCTGGTATAGAAAATGGATGGATGGATGGATCTTTTTTTTCCAATCTTTTATTTTCATTTATTGACATTAAAATAAAAATACAGAACTAAATTGCTGCAAGCCAAAATGAAAAAGGGGACAGAAAGAAGAAAAACTTATGTTGTCTGCCCCTTTTAACTAAAATAGCATTAATACAAATGAAATAATCATATGATTCTTAAAGAAATTGAACAATATAGTTCCTGGACTTGTTGGCCGACAAAATCTCAACCCATGAATTTGAGAAAAAAAAAGAAAGAAAACAATTTACACAGAAAGAAGCATTAAGTTATAGATCTATATACATACATATATACACATACGAATACATACTAGGTTTTTTTCCCTTTCATCCCCCCCACCCCCCTCCTCTCACACATTTATGTAACGGATCTATAAAAGTTAATCATTTTATTTTTTATCTCTTTTTTGAAAGTCAATATTTTTTTTTGCATTCTTGAGTTCAGTATTCAATTTATTCCACAATTTAACTCCATTTATGGAGACACAATGTTCCTTTACGAGTATCCGATGTCTAGGTATGTTAAATAATTCATGTCCCTTTAAATCATATTTGCTATGTCTTTTTGAAAATCATTTAATTAATCCTGCAGGTACGTTCCTTTTGTTTGCATTATACATACATTTTAAAATATTGAAGTCCACCAGATCATAGAACTTTAGTGTTTTTAATTCAATAAATAATGAATTGGATGGATCTCTGTAGTTGCTCCTTGTGATTATTCTTATTGCTTTTTTCTGTAAGATGTAAATGGAATTTGTGTAAGTTTTATATGTTGTTCCCCAGATTTCAAGTTCAGGTATGGTATGATCAGTGAGTTATATAACAAATATAATGAATTATTATCAAGCAACCCTTTAGCTCTATGTAACAGTGCAATAGTTTTAGATATTTTAGTTTTGACACTGTTTATATGCAGTTTCCAAGACATTTTTTCGTCAATGATGACTCCCAGATACTTGACTTCTTTAACTCTTTTAATATTAATCTCATCTATATTTAATAAAATTTCATCATTTGAATTTGTATTACTAAATATCATAAAACAGGATTTATCACTGTTTAATGATAGTTTGTTCCCATCAAACCTTAGTTTAATTTTTGTCATCTCTGTTTGTATCACTTCTATCATCTGCTCAACATTATCTCCTGAATAGTAAAAAGTTGTATCATCTGCAAATAAGGTGCATTTTACAGACTACTGTGTCATGGTTTCATAGACACTGTTTCCCTCTAATATGTTTGATCTCTTGCTTCCATGTAGTGTTCAGTACTTTGGTTTTATCCCTCTGAGGTGACTGAATAGTGCTCTATAGGTGATGATGATGATGATGATGATGATGATGATGATGATAAAATAACTTGGAATAATTCCCACTTTTGTTATTTTTTTCAGTACTTTGATTCTCTCTGTGACAATATTCTTTGAGTTAGCATCATTTTCTTGGGGGGCTAAGTACAGCAGATCATGTAGCATAGTAAAGACTAGCTAAACCGTTTCTCCACTGGTTTGCTAGCTTAGTGAAATTGTTTGTAAATATTAGGATTTTTCATGGATTATTCATGTATAAATGGTCTAAAATATGAAGATTTAATTGAATGATACAATAATCGTTACATCAACTGCTCAGACTAGCTGTTAGCCTATCAATCCAGTTAAAGTAGTTTTACAAAGTTAACCCCAAAACATGTTCCCTTTGAACTTTCATAGAGGAATGCACATATTTGTTAAATCAGTTTATTGTTCATTTCATGTCGCTTCAGTATAATCGGTGGGTGGGTAGTCCTGATTTGTGACATATTATGAACGCAAAGACATTTATTGGTCACTCTCACTTTTCTATACTGGTAAGTTAAAACAAAAACCTTTTGAGACCAATAGGCAGAAAAACTAACTTGCCTTTGCTTATCCTGGTGTTTCATGTCACACATACTTTATAGTTTTGGTTTTTATTTTAAACTCGTCTGCTGGTTTTAACCTGTTCTTAATGCTTTATTCCTCGTCTTCTCTCTCGTTTCTTTGGTTCTTCAGGCCCCAGCCACAGATTTCCCTCAGCAACAGTCCAGGAGGTGTAGGAGTTTATCCAGGTGCAATAACCATGGCAACAGCCACACCATCCCCACATCTGACCTCAGACTGCTCAAGCAACTCAGTCAGCCCTGAACCCACCATCCCAGTCATCCAGAGCACATACGGGGTGAAGTCTGAGCCTGGTGGAGGCAGCAACGGAGGCGGGGTGGGAGCCCTGGATCTGCCTGGTGACCCCACCAACGGAGATGATGATATGGACATGTACGAGGACTATGAAGATGAGCCTAAATCAGACTATAGCAGCGACCGCGAAACACGGGAGGCTGTCGGCGCTAACTGAGCACCAGTAGGGTGCCACACATCAAAGGAAAACTGTCCTTTTACATGGAGACAAATGGTGAAGAAAGTTTATAACAGACCTTCAGGCACACTTTCACGACACCGTTGACCGAACGCGTCCAGCTGAGATCTGAACTGTACAGACCTGCACAAAACCTGTCGGAGCTGTCTGTCACCTGCTGGACAATCAGGCAGACGGGGGAGGGGCCGTCCCAGGAGCACAACCTCAACAATCATTAGACATCCAGCTGACAATGAGCTTCGGTTTCCCACTCTTTGACAATCTTTTGAAAAAAGCGTTAGACGACGGGGTAAATGGGACTAGAACAAAATAGCAACATACACACACGTCACTGTGTGGTTTGTTGAGAGCGTGCATGAGTTTTCAGCCTTACACGCTGCTCTTTGACAGCTATTTGGTCTTACATGTTTAAGGAGTGTGTTCGTTTTATTATCATTTATTTACATTTTGTGTTTTAATTTTGTTTTCTGACTTCTCTGACAGGTCCCTGCCTTGACAAACTCTGGAATGTCAGAACTTGAAATTGGGAAAATTTTTAATATAAAATCTAGCTCTTGTAATGGTACAGTCTTACCTTTGTTGAACAAGTATACAGTGCTACATCTTTTTTCTTTTTGACAAACTGCTTACATTACATTACTGGTAGATTATAATTATTAATTTTAATATCCCAGCTCAGGTATGATGTGCCAGCTTGTGAATGTGTGTTTTTCTGTTTGGTTTTGTTTTATTTTCATACAAAAATAATGGTGAGACTTTGTAGACTGTCATGGAAATAAAGGGAGTTACATCCCTTATTATTATTATTATTATTATTATTATTATTATTATTATTATTATTATTAGGAAGGAAAGAACAACATTTTGTACAGTTTTCTTCATATGTGCCAAACCTTTACATTTACTCTGGATGTTGTAGTCTTAAATTCAAATGCTTCAAAGAGAGTCTTATACAATCAACTTCCCTTTATCTGCTGAGAAGGATTGACCAGTTGCTGGTTCCCTTCCTGACCCAATCACAGGCAGAGCTCAGGGAGGCTACTTTGTCTCGCACGCACACACACACACACACACACACACACACACACACACACACACACACACACACACACACACACACACACACACACACACGCACGCGCACACACGCACACACGCACACGCACACACACACACACACACACACACACACACACACACACACACACACACACACACACACAGACAGCTGACTGCCTCATAAGCCACATCACCCTTAGTTGGCCAGACTCAAGCATTCAGGGCCGTCTCTTTACTTCAGACTAAATTTAGATTTTATTTGAGGATAGTAAACGTTTACCTTAAGTTGTTCTGACATAGGATCCTAGAGAAAAAAACAACTTTTTAATATCCCGAATCCCTTCACTGCGTTCAGTCGGTACTAAAATGCACAAAGCAATTACTATTTTTCCTAGCTAATATGTTGTCATTGTATTATTTTTTTACCATCAAGTGAGAGAGAAATGCCAAATGAGTGTTTTAGAAACGAAAATCACCTTTACCTAGTAGCAAAACTGAAAGGTTACATTTCAAAAGGGTATGTTTTTCTACGTTGAGTGTTTTAAGTTAGTAAATTATTAAAACCAACAGTTGGATATTTGTCAGCCACCCCAGTCGGAGCACAGTGTTTCCTGTTTGTCTTTCCTCTAATGCACCATGCTGCAGCACACCGGATATTCCTGTTTAAACATTCATTCTGACAAATCTAAACTTCTTGATCATGTCTGATTGTAGAAGCGTCACAAGCTAGGACTGGTCGTTGGTTTTCACTGACATTTCAGCCCTTTCTCCTATTGTCATACACATCTTAAGCACTGGATATGTTGTGTTATTGTTTCTTTTGACTAATGTGAAGTTGTTTGATTTAAAACAAGACAGATTAGTTGGTACAAAGTGCTGTTCTGTGGCCCATGCTAGGTACCACGAATGCCTTTTCTTAAGAAGCGTTTTCATTTATTTAAGCAGAATTTGTTTCAGCAGCTCCGGTGTTCACATCACACCTCTGACATCTTTTTCTAAGGTAACCTCATGCTCCTGTCGGCTGTGGCCTGCAGAGGCAGAGCACACGTTTCACACACATTTTGTTGTGATGAGTATTGTATTTGAACTTAAATTGTGCATTTTAACATTTCATTGTATTTATTAGCCAGTTTTGGCTCTAAAAAGTGTCAGTACAACTTTGGTGAGGAAGACAATCTAAAAAATATGTATGAATAAAAAAGTAAAGACTTGTCCTCTTTCCTCCTTCACCTCTCTGTCGTTGCTGTTCAGGAATCTTTATTAGTTTTAGGGGAAACGAGATTTGTTGAACAATGAATGCAACACTGAAAGCTGTGTGTACGAGTTACATAGGTGGAGGTTTTATTTCTATTTGCTTTAAATATTACTCCGATTTTCCGACCACCTAACAATTCCCTACACATGGCTGTCTGTTCCCAAATCCGAGCTTTTCTACTTGCTCTTCATATTTTGGTGGCCCATTACAGTAAATGTGGCCTATTGTTCCAGTGTGTGTGTGTGTGTGTGTGTGTGTGTGTGTGTGTGTGTGTGTGTGTGTGTGTGTGTGTGTGTGTGTGTGTGTGTGTGTGTGTGTGTGAGGTAACAGGGCACATTCTGACTGTGCTGTGGTGTGTACGCCGCGGCGCCGGTACTCGCTGCAGCCAATCCCAGTGCAGCAGAGATGAGGAACAGAGAGCACAGCCATATGCAACCACACCATAAATCTAATTGTAATTCCCAAATCAACTGTAGCGTCACCCTGAGAGGGGCGCCAGCGAGTTTGTCACACTGCTTTGTAGCCTTGTATGTGTGTGTGTGTGCATGTGTGTGTGTACTCTGCACTATGCTTTTAGCTGGGAGGGGTGTATGAAATCATACTTGTGCTGTTGCCACGCTGATCTTGTTAAATAAGTCGTCATAATTTACATTTCCTGTTTCTCCTCTGCTGGAGGAACTTTTGGGTGTTTGAAAACAGACACAATGTGCGAGCGTGCACAGCTGATGTAAAGCTTTCAGCACCTTGAAAATAGATCGTTTTTCTCACATTCTGATAGTTACATAACTAGAGTCTATGTACATAAATGATGGTCATTGTGGCGTTATTATCTAACTATCATCTAACGACATTATCTACATCTACATGTACATGATATAACCTACATGTTGTAAATATTTGCTGCCTTATCCGTTGTAGATAGCTTCCCTATTGACCTCTGTTTGGAGGAATAGAGTTTGGGACCCAAAAGACTGATAGGCTAACTGCTAGTACTAACTAAAATACCAAAGTGGACTGCTTCTGTCTTTAAATTGCACCCATCTCATGAATTTATCAGCAATTTGAGCAAACATATCAAACCACTCCTCCTTGAACCGTCACCTTATCGTGGTGGAGGAGTTTGAGTGCCCTAATGATCCTAGGAGCTATGTTGTCTGGGGCACTTAGTGCCCCTGGTAGGGTCTCCCATGACAAATTGGTCTTAGGTGAAGGGTGAGACAAAGAACGGTTCGAAGGATCTTTCATGGTGGTTAAAACGAAGAGTCGGAGTACCCGGCCCGGAGGGTTACCGGGGTCCCACCCTGGAGCCAGGCCTGGGGTTGGGGCCCGTGAGCGAGCGCCTGGTGGCCGGGCTTTCGCCCATGGGGCCCGGCCGGGCCCAGCCCGAACCGGATACATGGGCTCGTCCAACTGTGGACCCACCACCCGCAGGAGGAACATGAAGGGTCCGGTGCAATGTGAATCGGGTGGCAGACCAAGGCGGGAGCCTTGGCGGTCCAATCCCCGGACAAGGAAACTAGTTTTTGGGACATGGAACGTCACCTCGCTGGCGGGGAAGGAGCCGGAGCTTGTGGCAGAGGTTGAGCGGTACCGGCTAGATATAGTCGGACTCACCTCGACACATTGCATTGGCTCTGGAACCCGAGACCTGGAGAGGGGTTGGACACTCTACTTTGCTGGAGTTGCTCCGGGTGAGAGGCGGAGGGCTGGGGTTGGCTTTTTGTTAGCCCCGAGACTCTCTGCCTGTGTGTTGGGGTTTACCCCGGGGGACAAGAGGGTAGCTTCCTTGCGCCTTCGGGTCGGGGAACGGGTCCTGACTGTTGTTTGTGCTTATGGGCCAAATATCAGTTCAGAGTACCCACCCTTTTTGGAGTCCCTGGGACGAGTGCTAGATAGTGCTCCATCAGGGGACTCCATTGTCCTGCTGGGGGACTTCAATGCTCACGTGGGCAATGACAGCTTGACCTGGAGGGGTGTGATTGGGAGGAACGGCCCACCTGATCAGAACTCGAGCGGTGTTTTGTTATTGGACTTCTGTGCAAGCCGCAGTTTGGCCATAACGAACACCATGTTCGAACATAAGGATGCCCACCGGTACACTTGGTACCAGGGCAGCCTAGGTCACAGGTCGATGATAGATTTTGTAGTCGTATCATCTGACCTGCGACCGTATGTTTTGGACACCCGAGTGAAGAGAGGGGCGGAGCTGTCAACTGATCACCACCTGGTGGTGAGTTGGATCAGATGGCAAGGGAACATGCCGCGTAGACCTGGCAGACCCAAACGCATAGTGAGGGTCTGCTGGGAACGCCTGGCAGAAGAACCTGTCAAGACGGTCTTCAACTCCCACCTCCGGCAGAGCTTTGACCACGTCCCGAGAGCAGTGGGGGACATTGAGTCCGAGTGGGCCTTGTTCCACTCTGCGATTGTCGAGGCGGCTGTTGCTAGCTGTGGTCGTAAGGTGGCCGGTGCCAGTCGTGGTGGCAACCCCCGTACCCGCTGGTGGACACCAGAGGTTCGGGGAGCCGTCAGGCTGAAGAAGGAGGCCTACAGGGCGTGGCTGGTCTGTGGGTCTCCGGAGGCAGCAGACAGGTACCGGATAGCCAAGCGGGGTGCAGCAGTGGCAGTTGCCGAGGCAAAATCTCGGGCGTGGGAGGAGTTTGGTGAGGCCATGGAGAAAGACTATCGATCGGCTCCAAAGAGGTTCTGGCAAACTGTCCGGCGCCTCAGGAGAGGAAGGCAGCAACTCGCTCACACTGTTTACAGTGGGGATGGGGAGCTGCTGACGTCAACTGAGGCTATAGTCGGACGGTGGAAGGAATACTTTGAGGAGCTCCTCAATCCCACCAATGCGCATTCCGAGGAGGAACCAGAGCTGGGAGGCCTGGGGATGGACTGTCCGATCTCGGGGGCAGAAGTTGCTGAGGTAGTCAAACAACTACACAGCGGCGGAGCCCCGGGGGCGGATGAGGTTCGTCCTGGGTATCTTAAGGCTATGGATGTTGTAGGGCTGTCATGGTTGACACGTCTCTACAACATTGCGTGGTCATCGGGGGCAGTTCCTAGGGAGTGGCAGACCGGGGTGGTGGTCCCCATCTTTAAGAAGGGTGACCTGAGGGTGTGTTCCAACTATAGGGGGATCACACTCCTCAGCCTCCCTGGAAAGGTCTACTCCAAGGTACTGGAGAGGAGGGTCCGATCGATAGTTGAATCTCAGATAGAGGAGGAGCAATGTGGTTTTCGTCCTGGCCGTGGAACTGTGGACCAGCTCTATACCCTTGCAAGGGTGATGGAGGGGGCATGGGAGTTTGCCCAACCAATCCACATGTGCTTTGTGGATTTGGAGAAGGCTTATGACCGTGTCCCCAGGGGCACCCTGTGGGGGACGCTCCAGGAGTATGGGGTGGGTGGCTTTCTGTTAAGGGCCATTCAGTCCCTTTACCAGAGGAGCGTGAGTTTGGTCCGCATAGCCGGTAGTAAGTCGGACCTGTTCCCAGTGAGGGTTGGACTCCGCCAGGGCTGCCCTTTGTCACCGGTTCTGTTCATCACTTTTATGGACAGAATTTCTAGACGCAGCCGTGGTGTGGAGTGTGTCGAGTTTGGTGGCAGGAGAATCTCGTCTCTGCTTTTTGCGGATGATGTGGTCCTCCTAGCTTCATCCAGCTCTGACCTTCAGCTCTTGCTGGGTAGGTTCGCGGCCGAATGTGAAGCGGCTGGGATGAGGATCAGCACCTCCAAATCTGAGACCATGGTTCTCGACCGGAAAAGGGTGGCTTGCCACCTCCGGGTCGGGGGAGAGGTCCTACCTCAAGTGGAGGAGTTTAAGTATCTTGGGGTCTTGTTCACGAGTGAGGGTAGGAGGGATCGGGAGATCGACAGGCGGATTGGTTCGGCGTCTGCAGTGATGCGGACGCTGACCCGATCTGTCGTGGGGAAGAGGGAGCTGAGCCAGAAAGCCAGGCTCTCGATTTACCGGTCGATCTACGTCCCAATCCTCACCTATGGTCATGAGCTTTGGGTAATGACCGAAAGAACGAGATCGCGGATACAAGCGGCCGAAATGAGTTTCCTCCGTAGGGTGGCCGGGCTCAGCCTTAGAGATAGGGTGAGGAGCTCGGACATTCGGGAGGGACTCGGAGTAGAACCGCTGCTCCTCCGGATCGAAAGGAGCCAGTTGAGGTGGTTTGGGCATCTGGTCAGGATGCCTCCTGGACGCCTCCCTGGGGAGGTGTTTCGGGCATGTCCTGCCGGCAGAAGGCCCCCGGGTCGACCCAGGACACGTTGGAGAAGTTACATCTCCAATCTGGTCCGGGAACGCCTTGGGGTCCTGCCGGAGGAGCTGGTGGACAAGGCCGGGGAGAGGACGGCCTGGAGCTCCCTAGTTGGGATGCTGCCCCCGCGACCCGGACCCGGATAAGCGGAGGAAGACGACGAGAGATATCAAACCATCATGGTACTGAAATATGGTACTTTTTAAGAGTACATTGAAGTACACAGTATGTCACTTATGCACAGCTGATCAGAACTCCCATTTAGAATCCTCTGAAGTTGAGTGTGAGTGTGTCATAGAAGACCTGTGTGTATTTTTGGTTGACTCTGGTGACATGAATCCTTTTCAACAGTGGGACGTTTTTAGCTGAGGGTTTGGTTAGTGTTTACACATTAGGAGATGTTTGGTTCAGTTCTGTTTTATGATTTAACTTCATCAAGGTCCAGATGACATCAAGTCCACCTGGTGGAACAACTCTGGACTCACATCGAGCTCCTCTTGGAGATCACCTCACCACACACCAATACAAGTGACAATGAAAAGAGGTAATACATAGACTAAAATAAATACATTGCATACAGATGTAACTAGGGCTGGGGTCTCTCTGCAAGGAGTTAGCATGTTTTCCCTGGGCATGCGTGGGTTCCCTCTGGGTTCTCTGGTTCCTTAGTTGTGAGTGTGTGTGCATGGTTGTTTGTCCTGTGTGTTTCTGTGTTGCCCTATGATGGACCTGTCCAGGGTGTACCCCACCTGTTTGCCCATTGACAGCTGGAGATGGCACCAGCCCCCCGCGACCCTGCGTGAATTAGCGGATACAGAAAAATTTAGACACCCAGAGTTTGTTAAATAGGATTTAACTCCTTACCTATTCTATTTAACATTGAGTACCCTGAGAAAACCATGCACGCACCTGGAGAACATGCTAACTAAGCGGATATGCTACCAGCTGCACCTCCATGCAGCCACATTTTTAATATAAACAGTTCCATTTAAACGTTGAACCCTAAATCTAATTATTTTTGTTTCAAAACTAAATAATAAATAATAATACAAACATAACAATAAATAAATACATTCAGTCTGCTGTTAACTTAAAGTATAATAATGAAATTCCCTATATAACATAACCTGTTTCAATGATGAGACTGTGTGTGTGTTTTCAACCATGTCAGCTGTCACCATGCATATATAAATGATCTCTGACTAACACGGGTATTAACGTTACACAGCTCTGATTTAACCACCTGCTCTTCTTGCATCAGATACTTTTTTATCATGTTTAAAGAAACTTTAGTGAATTATCAAACAGATACTCTTAGTCAGATGTTAACGATATTAACAGTTACTATGGTAGCTAACCACTAGTTTATTATAATTGTGTTTTTAATCTAGAGCTGAAAATTACAGAGATCAAGTGGAGAGTGATTACGCACACTTAGAATTTACCTTCCCTTTTGAGTGTGTGTGTGTGTGTGTGTGTGTGTGTGTGTGTGTGTGTGTGTGTGTGTGTGTGTGTGTGTGTGTGTGTGTGTGTGTGTGTGTGTGTGTGTGTGTGTGTGTGTGTGTGTGTGTGTGTGTGTGTGTGTGTGTGTGTGTGTGAGAGAGAGTAAGAAGAGGAATAATGACATGCTTCTTCACGAAAGCCCAGCCCTGGGCCTCAAGGCAGACTGACTTTTTGATTTTTAAAAACCGTCCTGAAGAATAAAGAGAACCGCATCCTTAACCTTTTTTCTTCTCCTTAGCAATGGAACATAGATTAAAAGAATCATAAACTAACACAAAGGAGGAGCCGTCTTCAGATGTATTGGAGTCTCTTTCAGAGAGGCATCAAAGCCCACAGCACTGCTGCAACAGGGTCTTGTTTTGAGCTTATGAGGATTGATCATTCAGACACTCCTGATTTAAAAAGTCGTTTGTTTGACTTTCGCAGTGTTAAAATGAAAATGGGATATTGCAGTTGAAGCAATGTCAAAAAATATGAGGTACATCAGTTCCTTCTCCAGCCTCAACCTTTCCCAGGCGTCCCAGTCCTCTCACAGCAGCCTCCCTTCCAGGTACTGTACAGTCAGGCTGATCCAATCTCAGCTTAAATTACATCAAATAATTCACTCAATAGAAATAAAATAAAACGAAAGAACAGTGTTTCCAGTCCCAGGCCTGAATAAAGGACGAGGATCAGAACTGTGACATTCCAAACTTCTTGAGTGTTTTAATCACGTTTTGGTTACACCTCAGTAATAATCCTCACTTCTACAGCACTCACAACAACACAAGCACAGGCAGTTTATGTCATTGAGCCACTTCTAGCTACTTTTAGTGTGGCCAGTGTCTACTGTCCTTATTAAGATTTAGACAGCGCTGCACGGAGGCGTGTCTTTAGCAGTTTGGACAAAGAGGGATGAACACGTCCTGCTCTGGTTGCATCTGGACTGCCCTCATACCGCCAAGCAGCCGGTTGGGTTGATTCACATCCTTTTTCCTTTATTTTCTGCACAGGGCTGACTAATATAAGGTGATCAGAATGTCAATGCAAGGAGAACTTGTAATTACTTCATCTACATTTATTTAATGTGAAATCAAAATTAAATCATTGTCCTGTTGTGCTGAACAGTAAGGATTTAGCAAATGCTTTAAAATAATATTATTCACAAAATTTTTGGGTAGCTTGTCATTTGCTATTTACCAAATAAAAGGCGAGTATTGAACATTATGTGAAAGTAAAATGGATGACAAAAGCTCCTTTTGATTATACTGCTGGGCATTTTTCAGCAGGTTGAATATGAATGCAAACTTGCCGCATGATTTATTAGAATTCCAAGGGTCAACATCCTTGAGAGGCATTCAACAATAACTAAAAAGCTAAATGCAGAATCTGAATAAAAGAAAATTGTTCAAAAAATCCCTGAAAGAAATTGCTTTGACAGTTTCTGAGTTTCCTTGTCTTTGAAACGCTGCATAAAGGCATACACTTATTTTTTAATGCAGCTAAGGTGAAAGAAAAAACCTACAGCACTTTTTCAGGAAAGTAGGCAATGGACAAAAGGCCAATTTTTCCCTTTTGAGCCAAAGTCCTTGGGTGTTTTTAAGTGCATTAGTCCCGCTAATTAAATATTGTATGTTTAACGAAAAATGCCGGCATGAAAGCAGCTGGATTGTTTGACTCAAAGACACGGTTGTAACCTTGATGAGCGGAACTGAGCTCGACCGTGAGACGGTAAAGAAAGTCAGTGTTTCCAGTCTTCCCTTCGTTTGACCCATCGTAATTATTTTTAATAATTCTACAATCACATTTTTTGGATCAGAGACAAAGACGGTGGACACAGTTAGGAGGTGGAACAGGTTCACTGCTAAACTGAGCGTGTTGGGTTCTTGTTTTAAGCTGAGATGTTCTAGCCTAGTGAACTAGACCAAATTCTTGCTTTGCAAAGTTTGGTCTAGGCACGCTCCATTGGAACCTCAGCAGCTCCTACCAGGACTCTGGCTAGCCAATCACAGCTCTCTAGAGGGGTTTCAAACACATAAAGAGCTGTGATTGGTCCATAATGGTGGGCCAATCATAGTGCTCTATCTGCTTAGTGAACAAATCACAGAGCTTTATCGCTTTGTGGGCCAATCAGGGCACTCTATATGCCTGGTGGGTGGGATGATGCAACAGAGTGAAACAAGAGTATGTCACATTCATTGTCCAATGGAATGTGGAGATCATTTGAAAGACAACGGTAGAACCCGCCCCACAACCGAGAGCCGTCAATGGAGCATGGCCAGACTAAATAATACATTTATTTAGTCTGGCTTGCCAGGCTAGAGATGTTCTTGTCTTGCTTCACAAAACAACTATTCATTTAAGGCACATCTCCTGGTTGAACAACCAGGAGATGTGCAACTTGGCAGTTAAACGAGCATGAATGTTTTTAGATTGTGGGACTTGTGGAGCAGGCACAAAACTGCTCTGCCACCATCATCTGACATGAGGCATAGCTGGATGACGTTAAATCAGTAGCCTCATCGATAACATTTCAGATTGTAGTAATAGTATGCGACTGTATTGAGTAATACATGTTCTGAGCACAGTACTGTATGTCACAGGCATTGTCTGAACCTGCTTGTCCACACAGGGTCATGGGGCGGGTGCTCATCTCCAGCAGTCTCTGGGCAAGCAAGCGTGGTGCACCCTGGCAGGCTGCTTGCCAGTGCATCGCAGGGCAACACAGAACCACAACTGAGCACACACACTCACACCTAAGCACAATTTAGAGTAACCAGTCAAACGGAGAGCCATGTTTTTGGACTGCGGGAGGAAGCTGGAATACCTGGAATACATGCATGAACAGGTAGAAAATGCAAACTCCATGCAGAAAGACCCCAGGTTGGGACTTGAAGCAGGACCTTCTTGCTGCAACAGTGCTAGCCTGTGCAGTCAGTATATATACACACACATATACATATATATATATATATATATATATATATATATATATATATATATATATATATATTTATATATGTATATATATATATATACATACATACATACATACATATATGAACATTATGTGAAAGTAAAATGGATGACATATATATATATATATTATATATATATACATTTGAAAGTCTCCAATTAACCAAACGTGCATGTTTTTGGTCAGCGGGCACCCACAGAGAATCGTACACATTAATGAGGAGAGTATGCAAACATCCAGGCAGCAGGGATTTGACCCTTCTCCATCAACGGCACCACTATGCAGTCCCATGGTTCAATCAGAGAGCAAGGAGACAAAAGAAAGCTGTATCCTCCTGCACCATTATTTTCTTGGGGGAGTGGGGCCCTCCTCAGATGGCTTTTAGAGGTGTTGAGATTACATTTAGTGAGCTAGCAATGCATACCACCAGCTTGGCTCCTCCTCCTCGGGATGATTGCAACCTGATTGAAGCTCAGAAGTAGAATTTTGATTTAAAAAGCCAAGATCTCTTTTTTTAAAATTCCTTGTAAAAATTGTATTTAGATGTTATTCTGACCGTTTTTGGATTTAAAATACCTCACAAAACCAGAACAAAAGGTGAAATAATAGTAACACAAAAAAGTATGCTTTATATACACACTATTTATACAAGCTTGAATTTTCTATTTCACTAAAATACAAACCTTTGCAATAATGAGGGTTTTATAACTTGCTCTGAAAAAAGAGATTTTTTTTTTCAAATAATACTCAACTTTAAATAAGTTGCAGTGGAAACTTGTTTTCCATCAGAATTGTGGTATACACTTGGTTGGATTTTATGATCAGCCTCAGTTTTCTGTGGTTTTATGCAACTTGGCTGTGGGAGCAATTAATGTTTTTCTGGCAAGGACTTTGTCTGAATTTGCCAAAATGGGTTATCGGCGTAGTGACTGTGGTCAAACAAATATTTTTATAATTCACAGATATAGCAAAACACATTAACTCTCCCTACAGACTGAAACAACAAACAAGGGCGAGGACTTTTACTGGCTTATTCCATTTCCAGTTTATGTAGCATCATGATGTGATGAAAAAGCGATGGAGTCCATTATTCAGATGTTTTCCTCTAGAGTAGAGCAGGTTAGCTGGCTCACTGTCAGCCCAAAATATTCCTCTTTCTTCTCAAAGTAGTAGTTTAGTCTTGCTATAGCATACCTGGAAGAAGAAAATGGGAAAGAAGACAAGAGATCAAAAAACAAATCAAAATGTGTGCCATGCTGTTTTCATAACCTTCATCTAAGGAGTTTTAACTTGCTTTAAGCGCCCCCTAGAGTCCATTTAGTAAAACCAAAAGTGAAACGTACCTATTTGCTGTGTGTTTGTCTTTGTAACATATTCATCTAATTGCTGAAATGTCTCCTCAGCCTTCATGAGTGTCTACAGGTGTGATTCATCACTAAATTAAACAAGTCAGCTGTGTTTGTGATCTAAAACTTGCAGGAAATGAGCAGCAAGCAGACTGCAGCGCCAGATATGTCAGCTCCGAGATACCACAGTCGGGGTTTGAGAGACACCTCATTAACCCTGTAAAAGTCATAACAACACTTACTTGTTCAAGGAATAAATTTAAAATCTGAAAAAGTTGCATATTATGCCTTTAAGATGCTTCCGATATCTTTATTTTTGGCTTTTGACGTTACACATTATTCAGTCTTTACTGTTAATGTCTCACCCTCCTAAAACATCGTTGATCTTCTAACAGAAAAGCTTTGGATTCAATGCCAGTCAGCACTACTAAGGGGACAAATTCATTAAGACATGCCAGCGTGGACATTGTCAACATTAGGAGTCCGGCATCGATGGACACTTTACTGAAAAATGGGCCATTGGAACAAGACTTACTGTTAGAAGCTGTCTACAAACAAGACCTGAGACCAACATGAAAGCATCTAGACGCAAGATTCTCGGACCCTGACACACAGCTTCTTAGATTTCATGGAGGCATAAGACCATGCATGGCAGGTCTCTGAGGCTTAGCAAGGAAGTTCCAGAGATCCTACCAGTGGCTAAAGATGGCTGGACTGAAGGACGGTCGTCGATAATCTTTAATAGCTTTACTTTATTTGTTCTTTTGGGTCATCTTAGGCCAGCTAAACACCCAAGAACACATTTTCATCCTAAACACATGACCTCATCAAACTGTACTGATCCTGATCCACATCTCCTCTTCACAGATATCACATTATTGCAGTAGTTCAGCTCACTGTGTATTCAGTTTTAGTGCAGTTCCTTTTAAACCAGTAAAAGTTTGGCACCTCTTGGGCCATTCACACAGCTGATGCATACTTGCTATAGCATCTATCAGACTTTGGTTCTGCAACAGTCCAAGCCTGCATAATATAAAGGATGTAAAGGACAAAGGAAGTAAGAGGTTAATTTACATGAATATTCTCTTTTAGAGTGTGTACCAGTAAAGATCCACATACACATCGTGCTAATAGCTCACGATGGGCACCGTGTCTTTGTTTGACAAACCTGCATGCTGATATTGCGTCGAGCCTCTTTTCAAAAAAGGTAATGAGTCTGAAAGCTTCAGCGAGGAACTCATCTGTGATAAAAGTGGTTTTGTGCTCTTTCATACCATATTGTCAAACATCTCAGTAAATCTGATGTCTGAGTACGTTGTTGCCCTTGGCCATTATACCCTTTGAAATTAAGAGAAGTTTCAAAAGCAAAGAAAATGGAGGCACAGAGAGGAGTTTGTCCTTTAATTAGGGCTTTCACCAAACTCCTCATTGCCAAATCAGTTTTCTCGCTTTTACTGCTTAGTGAGACAAAAAGATTATTTAGACACACGCCTTTTAGTTACTTGTATTTCATTGCTGCATCCCCATTCTAGTTATTGTTCCAGAGGGTTTTCTCTAGTCCTCCTTCAATGGAATTGTTTCTTTCTCGTAGTCGTTCCTTCATTTAAAGGGATCCTTTGGATTGAAAACACACCTGTTGCCTATTGCTGAAGCAAGTGCTACAGTACAGTAGTAGGAGCCTATCCTTTGGCACTGAGAAATAGTTTGGGGGAACACAGGTCTTGGATATTGGTATGCAGAAGTCAGTGGACTATCTTCACAGCGCTCACTGCAGTTTAGCGAAGCCTGGAAGGCTTTTTGTCTCTGGACAGACTTAATTTGGAGAAAGTTGTGTGTACAGAGTTGATTGACTGTTCTCTATGACACGGTTACAGCTACCTCATTAACAGGAAAGTTGGTCTCCAATAGACGGCTGCAGCTGGTGGCTTGATTTGTGAAGGAAGGAATCTGATGTCTTTTTCGCGTTTTAGTTTGAACAAACACTGGATTAATTTATTAAAAGTTGTCTTTTTCTTAACCTTCTCAGAGATAACAATTCTTTAAATAATAATTGATAACAGAACCCAGCTCTGGCTTTGCTCCCAGTTCAGCTGCTCAGTCGATAACGTATAATTCATGCACACAGGAAGGTATGCACAGAGGGGGGAGGGATGGTCAGAGGAATGTTTGATGGATGAGCTTTGATCCGGTCATTAAATCTGCTATAGCAAATCCACAGAACGTTAGGTTTTGAGCGCAAACACGGTCACGGGACACTCACCCTCCCCTATGGTGTCTTCCCTGAGGTGCTTTTGCCAGAACCAGAATCCTGATTTGCTAGTGGAAACTACCCATCCATCCATCCATCCATCCATCCATCCATTTTCATCCGCTTATCCGGAGTCGGGTCGCGGGGGCAGTAGCCTAAGGTGAGAGGCCCAGACTTCCCTCTCCCCAGCCACTTGGGCCAGCTCCTCTGCAATCAGTCGTCTTTTGCTGTCCACAACTTCAAATGGTGTTTTTCTCTTTGGGACTCTGGTAGTTTGTTCTAAAGTTGAAGTGGTAGGAGCCGGCTGTTTCTCCTCTGATATTATTGAGCCAAAAACCTTTCACACAAGCAGTGCTCGGTTTCTAAATACGCAAGTGTGTAAAGAATGGAGGACCCAGGGAAGTGCGGAAGTGAGGATGTTCAGAGAGACCGTCAACCGCACAGTTAAATAAAATAGAAGAATAGAATACACCTCATTAATCCCACAATGGGAAAATTCACTTGTTTACGCAGCACATACACTCAGAGAATAGGAACATATAATACAGGTAAACACACAAAGGCTATTATTGTAACCTTCAGCAATGAAAATAATGAATGAAAATAGAAAATTGAGTTTCCAAAAGAAACTGTTCATAAAACACAGACATACAAATGTGCATCTGGGTATTGCACATGTATTGAATATAACTTTGTTATTGTGTAACAGGATAATGCCAACACCAGTTAAACTGAGGAGTTATACACTCTGTTATTACTGCAGAGGAGGTGAATGATCTATAGTACCATTCTGTTTTACATCTTGGATGTCTCTGTCTCCCATGAAAGCAGCTGTCCATGGTCTCCACAGTTGAATACAGTGGGAGGGAGGAGTTTTCCCAGATGAAGGTCATCTTTGCCATCATTCTGCTTTCACACATCTTCCCAACTGAATCTAACTGGCAGCCCATTGCTATTCTGACTAGCTTGTTCAGTCTCTTCCTTGCTCAGCCAGAACTGCATGCCCAGCAGACCACAACAGAGTGAGTAACAGATCCAACAACAGAGTGATAAAAGGATTTTGGCAGATAGGAAAATAACTCCAAAGGACCTCAGCCTCCTCAGGAGGTGGAGGCGGCTTTGGCTTTTCTTTTACAGAGCATTTGTGTTGTAGGACCAGTTCAGTTTGCTGTTGAGGTGAACACTCAGGTACTTAAAGGTATCCACCACCTCAATGTCTGCTCCCTGGATGTTTACTGGTGAGAGAGGAAGAGTGATTCTCTGGAAGTCAATCACCATTTCCTTTGTCTTACTGGTGTGTTGGCAATGGTGGTTACAATCACACCAGTCCACCAAGTACATAATAACCCACTGGTACTCCTGGTCATTCTCCTCAGTCACACAGCTGACAATGGCCGAATCATTCTGGAGAACTTCTGGAGGTGACAGCTGCTGGTGTTGTAGGTGAAGTCCCAGGTATTTAGACACACCTGCTAGGCCCTTCAGAAAGCTGGTCAGCACAGTCTTTGAGCAGTCTGGGGCTGATCCTGTCAGGTTCTGCAGATGTACTGCTCTTAAAGCCGGGCGGACACTGTGCGACTTTTTCACTCGTAGCACTCAGCTTCAGCTCAAACTGTACGACTTCCTCACAGGGCAGATCTCACGAGTCACATGCTCACACTGTACCACCCAGTTCTCGGATGCGACTTGACTGCTCACACTGTACGTCTGGTAGCAACACGTCGGCCCTAAAAATATGCTAAAAATAGCAGTTTTTACACAACACGTCAGACTTTTTTGTCTTGTTTTGCCTGTTGTCCTTCGGGAGTGCTGCAGGAGGACACACAGGGATTTATGGGGGTTGGATGAGGAAACGAAATAAAGAAAGTAAATCTGTGTTTTATGATCAGTTTAATTTGACATGAACACGACAAACACGCTTTCTTGACAATCTTTGTGAGTAAAAAAACGTGTAGAAACAAAAAACGAACAACGTGTGTTATTAGGGAAATTGCGGGCGAGCAGTGTTGATGCATGATAGCGGATGCGCCGTGAGCGGTTCTGATACTTTTTGGGTCGCAGCTGCTCGCAGCGCCGCTTCAACAGTGCGATACTCTCACGAGGGACGAGCAAAATATCAAACACGCCAGAAGTTTGTGCGAGCTCACGATTGCTGATCGGTAGCTGGTCACGTGGTGTTCATCGCCTCTCGTAACCCCCGGTACACTACATGACACTCGGCGCAAAAGGTTAAGGTTAAGGTTAGGATGAGAGAGAGGGGAAGGTTATAAATAGTGAAACGTTAAGGTCTAGGTGCGGTTAAATGAGCTGGTTCGGTGCCGCATCAGCGGATATCTCATCACGTCAGTTTTATGCTGCATTGGGATCTGCAGTTACAAAAGGGAAAAACCCCTATTCGCACATAAGTAACGAAAAAGGGCACTTTTGGCGTCAGGGGTCTGACGTGGAGGGTGGCTGACCGAGCGTTTGTTTTTGACGCGCTGGGAGTGAGAAGCAGAGGATTTTAGACAAAAACCAGAGAACATTATTACTTTTATAAATTTTATACATTTTTTAAATCTCCATAATATATTTAAAAGAATATATAGCAAGTTAAAAGA